TCTCTCCCTCTACCCCGCAGCGCTCACACAAGGGATCCCCAGCCACCCGCATCTCGTGCAAGTGGCGCTTTAACGTGTTATGGCCAAACAACAGTCCCACGAGCAGCCTTAGTTTGGCTCTATCCAGAGATAAGCAGAAACGTCCGTCCTTCGCTCTGGGCCGTTCTATGACTTCCCGTGCCTGGCGGAGATGTCTGGAGATACTTCTCCATTTCTGAGAGTATTGTCTTGCAATCCACGACTCCATTTTCCTCCTAACTCTATGCGCGGGCACTCCTAAAGCTGGCTCAGGACCAACGAGCTTGCTAACTGATCCTGTCTCCGCCAGAGCGTCCGGCGTTTCATTGCCCTCCTAGCGGGCCCCGGTATCCACATTAACGATACCGGATGCCTCGCTGCGAGGCAATCCAGAGCCTCCCTGCATTGCAATACGAGACTCGAACTAATCTTACATCTACTTAGTACCTTCATTGCAGCCTGGCTGTCGGATGAGATTGTTATTCTTCTCCTAGGCCCACCCTCCTCCAGAATGTGAGATACACAAGCCAGAATCGCAAAGAACTGACTACTACCAAATTACGTTGTTTCAAATACTGTTTGTTACATGGCATTGATGATTCACCGACGATAGGCCAGTATGAATGTTTCTAGTTTCTTGTTAGCTTTTAGGAATTCCATGAATACGTTACCAGAGCAGTGGTTAAATAATTTTCTAGTTCTTTCTCAACGTTACTTATGGATCCAGATATATCCAGTGATGGAATTCTGGCACCCACCAAAGATTGCACATTGCCCCTATTGAGATTTAACTAAACATAGTCTATTCAGAATTTTTTCAGGAAACTTAACACCAGCAAGATACATTCAGTTTTCAAAAAATTATATCAAACGTTACGTTTCTTCAAAAGTATTACAACGAGAATAAAATGGTCAACTCGGCAAATAATTAGTTACAAATCTAAAACATTGGGACATTTTTTGACATAAGCTTTTTCACTCATTTGCGTCTGATTTTCTTAATTTGGACTACTTCTAGTAATATATGTTGCTACTGCCAAAAACGGTTCCATCAATCTATAAGTAATGCTGCGTATTGCCAATTATTGCCAAATCGACAAGTAGTTAGCTTTTCACTATCTAGAGGTTTGAAAACCTGCCTATTTTATTCAGGTTTTTCTATTATTACTACTTCGCTTGAGGACGTATATCAGAACCTTACAGTCTGGCTGGACGTAATCATTTTGAACATGTTTTGTATATCCTCAGCTCCGTTTTCTTATTTCACCGTATATATCCGATGATCGTCACCGTGTATACTCGCACTACCATGTATATCTCAGTATTAATAAAATCAACCAAGGTTGTAGTTTTTATTTCGATTGTAGATGTACCCCTGCGTGGAGATAATGCATAAAGCACTTCCATATTTATTGTAGTAATATTTAATTTAAGGACAGAAATCAAATATAAATTCTTGTTTTTGTACAAACATTTTATTCTTCGCAACGTGTGAACTTTGTGCATTTTTAAAGTTATGGAATTTTACTACGTGCAGTAATAATAAATGTCGAGGTAGGGGTTACAGCTAAGTAGCAATACACCTGGTTATAATAACAATTTTGGCCTGAATAAAAATATTCTTCTACCCTCCCATATATTAGAATCGCTCATAGAATTTTGTGAAGTCAGTAAATGATATTTAAAAAAATCAGTTTCTTGAGACACGGAATTTAAAAAAGTCGATCGGTGTTAGGCTTGCTAAATAGAGACCCACCTCATTCTACTTTTGTTGGAACCATGTTAGCTTAGTAACAAGACAAAATCAGTTTTTAATCTGGAGAAAACTAAATTTCAGGTTTATATGTAGTGACCTAATTTAGGGACTGTGTCACCAAAAAAATTTGTCATTAATTTTTTTTTAAATTCCTTGAGCGGCTCAGGTCACAAAAATACACACAAAACTACTATTGTAATTGATGGAAAGTCTTGTGCTTGACATTCCTTCAGTTTTGGTCTGATCTCCTTTTCGCATAAGAACTTCTGTCTACAAATTAATTATCGACGATTTTTCAAAACGGTCAACAGCAATTTTGTGCAAAATGGATTTGGAACTTTCCAGTTTCCAATATAAAGCTTTGTTTAGCAAACGATTCTACGCCATTGGTTCTGCAAAGATTAGTACCATTTTCTTAAAAAGTCTCAATATTGTTCCTTCAAAAAGCTCTCTTGAAGTTTATCGTTACGTTCGTTAAAAAATGACAGGTTAACTATTTTAATAACGAAAAAATATTACTAGTTGATAGAATAACTTTTATAACAGTTGCAGTAATATTTAATAAAAAGGGTGGAATGAAATCTCAATTTTTGTTTTAGAACAGAAATTCATTCATGTTGCAACGCATTTTACTAAATTCTGTCATAATAAATATCATAATCCTCCTGTGCTCACGGCACTATGGGGCTGGGGGCATGGCATTACCCTGGTCAATATGTTTCTGGCCTAAATCTTATTATCTCAAGCCACTCCTGAAGAAGAGGTTATGACCAATTGCTTTCGGTTTGCGATATTTACCTGCCGGGGTATTTAAACCCTGACACAAGTATGGTGTTGTTAGTTTAATTGTTGATCTCTGTGCTATCCTCTCCATATTCAAGTGCTCCATTTGAAGTGGAAAAAATGTTTCCAGCTGAAGTTGCACCCTTTTACTGCTTAGGTAAGGTTTTTGTAGCATCAGTAGTGTTTTGGAATGGAAAATGTTGAATTACAGTGCTTGAAAGACTTTCTAGTATTGTGTTCAGCTTTTTGATTGATCTATTTTGGGAGGCAAGTGCTTCATATAATACTAAATATTGAGGTAAATCATGCTACAGAAAGTATCTAAGAATTGACTATCAACGATTTTTGGACAGTCCTGCACTTGTAAAATCATTACATACATATTCTTAAGGAAATTGAAAATATGATCAGTATATAAAAGTGAACTTGGAAATTATTCATTTCAGTGATATAGTCTAGCAAACATTTCTACGCCATTGGTTCTGCAAAAATAAAAGTCATTTTCTTAAATCCACATTAGTCCTTTCTTTAAAGTTTATTGTTGTCTTCGTTAAAAAAAGTGACTGCTCGATTTTTTAATAACCACAAACATATCATTCAATAAATTAAATTTTATTTTCAAAATCTTTGTACGAAAAACCTCCAAGAGGCAGATTTAAAGTAGATCCATTCAGACGTACGACTTTCTGAAAAAACCAGTTCCATGACATTTTATGAAAACAACGTAAAGAACAGATTGATGTTAGCTGATCTCACGTTCATTAATTTTGCATTCTTCAGATGAGTTATTCTGGTTTGCACTGTTAATTTTTATTAATCCCTTGAACATTTTCGCCGACTTAGACTATGTTTACTACATAAAGCTGTTATAAATATCCAATAGAGTAACATTCGTTTAGTCACTCGTGCCTCTGACAGTTTTCAAGGGTTAGGTTTTAAATGGGTGTCTCTGACAGGACTAGAAAAGTAATGGGAAAAGAAGGAAATAAGTGATAAAGTGTTCCAAAAACTTAAATAAATAAGAATGTCAGAGCTCAATGTTTAATATCTAATTCGTTGCTGGCAACGTACCTCTACGGATGTTTTCGACATTAATGTGTTTACTACCTTTTTTCAAAACGAAATTTAGAAAAAGACGTCTTGTAATTGACAGCGACCAAGATCGAGGACGATTTGTGATACAAGTTTCATAGCATGCATATAGAAAATCTGTCACTGTGACATTTAATCTGTTGAATATCCAAATTCAGATTCTAATAATACAGGCTGTTTCAACGGAGGAGTTTTTAGACTCAAACTAAGTCGATTGGACATGACTTACCTCTATGCAAAACTGCTTCGTCATTTAGAGGGCGTCAAGGTTTTCTTTGTAAAACACACTTTTTCAGATGTTTTTGTAACCAATAGTCTGACCTTAATTAAATTTAGAACACATGTTTCTTGCTAGACGTCCTAATATCTGACTTTTACGTAAATCTGAAAGGATTTGAGAAGGGTGAAAACTATCCCCCTACATAAATTACAGCAGAATTTCTTCGCCACTTTCCCGATAAATATATATATATTAAAATATTATTACAATAAATAGGAATCCATCTCTGGTTTCGTAGATTCCTTGAAAGGTTTGCCTTGGTCTGATATTCGAGTATTTGTATGAAAAGGCCCCTGGGCTGCTGTGGCAGGGATCAACTGTATGAAGCCTAAATAATGTGTGATTCTAAAAAAACAATTTTGCAATACCAGTTTAACTTGCTTTAGGTGCAACATACTCTATCAATGATTTTAAATATACTGAAATGGTAAAAATGTCTTTCAAATAGGTTTAGTTGAAGAAAATATCTAAAATTCCAGCCTTGTCTTTACCTTAGGTAATGTTTGAAAAAATGTAACTGCTACGAAGGGTATTAGTTGTGGCTCATAGCGTTCATGTGTTAAGGAAGATTGTGGGTGCTAGATACAGGATCGTTTCTCTTTATTTATTTTAAACATAATATTACTTTTCCTTCGTATAAGAATAATGAAAATACAAATGAGAAACAGATGTTAAACGAATTTCGTTAAGAGTTGGAGATTGTGAATCTTGCAGTAAGGTTCACTCAAGTATGAAGCTTTACTTACAATTTCATTATACCTTAAGCCGTCCACGGGCAGATCGAAATATTAAGACGTAATTCACAGAGTGTTGAAGTCGACGTGGCGAATAGTTTTATAACACCTCGTTACATGTTTCGAACAGTGTGCTTTGCTTATTTTTTACGCTTCGCCTGTATGTAGTACAATGAAACGTTTTGCAGCGTTACGGTACAAAATACGTAGTCCGATCTACTTGCAGTCCTATAATTGAAATTTATTATGTTTTTAGATGACCCGTCGTTCATGTGCACTTCGAATCAGAACCAAGTCATCCACAATTTCAACGAACCAAGCCACACCTATTCTACTAGCTTTCCACAACAGATGGTGGACTTCAGTGCCTTGGAAAATAATGTGCGAATCATCGACGCCAATGAGTATGCTGTCAACAATCCTCTCTTGCTTGGAGATCGTCCTTCGCCTGTTACGAATCGCTTCTCTGGCAACGAAATCGGTTTAAATGACATAGAATCGACGATTTTTATTGATGAAAGTGCCGGAATGGGGGTTCCTGACAAGAGTTCCGACTTTTTCAATGTTACAGAGGATTGGATTCCATATAATAACTACGAAAACCCATATGAATCGGTAAGTATATGGCTATACATTCTCATAAGATTTTTTCCAAAAACAATAAGTGATGAGTATAAATGACCAGGGTTGTCATGTTTTAATCAAAATGTTAAATGTTGAAACGGGTTTTTTAAACACTGTTTAAAACAATGAAGGTGTTTTAAACCAATTTGTCTTTAACTGTTTAAAACATGTTTCCAAAACTGTTTTTCTTGTCGTTTGTGAATTATTCAAGTTTTTTTTTACATTTTTTAAGTTAGATTTAAGTAAGTCGGGATTTTAGTTGGACATCGTCTCTATCTTCTTGTCTTCCCGTCAATAGCGAAAAACTGGATGACGCTAAACTGGAAGTACTAATAACATTGGTGTTAGTGTAGTAGCTCTGTGACGAGCCATCTAATAAAGCATACCTATGTAACAACTGTAATAATATCTAAATATTTATTGCGATTGATTAACAGAAATTTGCTTGTACAAAACAAAAAGTATATACCGAGCCTTAATACGGACCTGTTTTATTCTTGATTCTTATATATTTAACGTATTTAAACAAAATTTAACAGCAATTACGTATTTCTTACCTTTTTCACAGGTTCGATAGAAAGCCTCCAAGTTACTTAAGTTTGAGGAAGTAGGTTCGGTAGAAACATCATTGTTGGTATCAGAACTGTCTGATATGTGAATATTTTATTTTTCTAACAAACTTCCTTGTTTAACTTGTTTACCCCTTTTAATATGCTTGCTCATTCTAGCCACCAGTGGCTCTATATCCATGTTGCAGGTAAACAATTTTGCTTTTTCATTTATTTTCCAGCCAGCTTTGGCATCAGTCTCCTTAAAATATTTCCACAGGGGATCCTTTCTCCTCCCTGTCATTGCCTTTATTTTTTTGCCGACTTTAATGCGCAAAAAACAAAACACATCACCACTCTACGACTTCGCACATTTGATTGCTGGAGATCGCAACGGGAAGAATTACCCAAAGGCAAACGGTGCTTCCACGACGTCCACACGGTAGTTTCCCGACGTCCACTTTTAAGTTAGAGAATAGTTATAACACTTTCAAGGAACTTCATAAACGTTGCTAGATTATATAGGCGATAGTATTTTATTTTTTTTACTGCTTTAAACATGTATTAACAGTGTATTAAACATGTTTTTTCAGCTAAATGTGAATGTCTTAAACAAAAAAAACATGATTTTTGTTTTTCTAAACATGTTTTTTTTTTCAACCCTGGATATGACATTTATGACACACACAAAGCAATGCAGATAATTTCATATTGGCTTATCGATTCAATCGATCAGTTTTGCAGTCTAATCGAATGAACTACCACTTCCGTTTGGAGGTTATGGGTATAACCACTGACTATACACTTATAAATAAGGATATAAATAGATTCATTTGGTTCTAGAACACTTAAGCAGAAAAATCGCACAATAAACGTATTTTATAAATAAGAGCTAGACGGATCAACCAATAAATGTGTGATTATTTTGTATACTAAAAAAAATACGACAACAAACATATGGTCAATAGAAGATCTGTGGAAAGTTATTTATTGAGTCTGATGACCAGTCTACACTATCAGCTTGCTTGACGTAATTCTTTTACCACAGACAGCTCTCATGGAAAGCTTTTAATACCGCTCCAAGCCGAATCGCTAGAAAGCACAAAAATTTTTTGTATGAGATCTTCAGTTTTTCATAAATTTAACTCTCTCCGAGTGATAACGTTATTCAGGGGTCATAGAACTACTACTTATTTTTAGACTCAAGATGAGACGACATGATTTATATCTATGAAAAAGTACTTTGCATCTGGTCTATAAATCTCATAATTAACCTGTATTATACACACAACAGATAGTGAACTTCAGTGCCTTGGAGAACCATGTGCGAATCAACGAAGCCAATGAGTATGCTATCAACAATATCCTCTTGCCTGGAGGTTGTCCTTCGCCTGTTACGGATCGCTCCTCTAGCAACGGAATCGGACTAAATGACACAGAATCCATGATATTGATTGATGAAGGTGCCGGAAACCCGGTTCCTGACAAGACTTCTGATTTTCCCAATGTTACAGAGGGTTGGATCCAATATAACAAGGAGGAGAACATTTATCAGTTGGTAAGCATATGGTTTTACATTCTCATAAGATTTTTTCTCAAAGACGCAAAGTGATGTGTATATATGACATTTCGGACACATACAATGCAATGCAATGCAGATAAATTTAATATTGTCTTATGGCTCCAAAGTACTGTTCTTATCACAGCAAGACGACGGAAATCCTACTCCAGTTTCCAGTTCCACTTTGAGGTTATGTTTATAGCCACCGATTATAAACTTACAAATAAGAAGGCGGAATATAAACAGATTTATTTGGTTCTTGAACACTTAAGCAGAAAAATCCCACAACTAACGTATTTCATGAATAAGAGCTAGACGGATCAATCAATAAATGTGTGATATTTTTTTATATCCTATAAAGACCTTCCAATACGACAACAAATATATGTTCAATAGAAGATCTGCGTAAAGTTATTTATTGAGTCTGATGACCAGTCTACACTATCAGCTTGCTTGACGTAATTCTTTTACCACAGACAGCTCTCATGGAAAGCTTTCAACACCGCTCCAGGCTGAATCACTAGAAAGTACAAAAATTTTTTATATGAGATCTTCAGTTTTTCATAAATTTAACTCTCTCCGAGTCATAACGTTATTCAGAGGACATAAAACTACTACTTATTTTTAGACTCAAGATGAGACGACATGATTTATCTCTATCAAAAAGTACTTTGTATCTGATCTCTAAATCTCATAATTAACCTATTTTATAGACACAACAGACGGTGGACTTCAGTGCCTTGGAGAACAATGTGCGAATCAACGAAGCCAATGAGTATGTTGTCAACAATATCCTCTTGCCTGGAGGTTGTCATTCGCCTGTTACGGATCGCTCCTCTAGCAACGGAATCGGACTAAATGACATAGAATCCATGATATTGATTGATGAAGGTGCCGGAAACACGGTTCCTGACAAGACTTCTGATTTTCCCAATGTTACAGAGGGTTGGATCCAATATAACAGGGAGGAGAACATTTATCAGTTGGTGAGCATATGGTTTTACATTCTCATAAGATGTTTTCTCAAAACCGCAAAGTGATGTGTATATATGACATTTCGGACACATACAATGCATTGCAGATAGATTTAATATTGTCTTATGGCTCCAAAGCACTGTCCTTATCACAGCGAGACGACGGAAATCCTACTCCAGTTTCACTTTGAGGTTATGTGTATAGCCACCGACTATAAACTTACAAATAAGAAGGCGGAATATAAATAGATCTATTTGGTTATTGAACACTTAAGGAGAAAAATCCCACAATTAACGTATTTTATAAATAAGAGCTAGACGGATCAATCAATGAATGTGTGATATTTTTTTATATACTAAAAAGACCTTCCAATACGACAACAAATATATGGTCAATAGAAGATCTGTGGAAGGTTATTTATTGAGTCTGATGACCAGTCTACACTAAGAGCTTGCTTGACGTAATTCTTTTACCACAGACGGCTCTCATGGAAAGCTTTCAACACCGCTCCATGCTGAATCACTTGAAAGCACAAAAACACGATACCGTGGATACCTACCCATATTTCTCCGAGTGAAAAAGTTATTCAGGAGGACCCAATATTTCATGGACATAGAACTACTACTTATTTTTAGACTCAAGATGAGACGATTGGACATGATTTATCTCTATGAAAAAGTACTTTGTCTGTGCGTTAGAGGGCGTCAAAGTTTTCATTTTAAAACACATTTTTTCAGATATCTTTGGTACCGATATTCTCATTTGAATGAAATTCGTCAAACATGAGTTTCGTTAGACGTAATAATATTCGCCGTTCACAAACAACTAGAAAGGATTCAAGAAGGCTGACAACTACCCCTACCGCTACATACATTATAGAACTTTTTTGCAACTCTTTTAGCAACTCTTAATTTCCTTTTTCAAGATATCGTCTTATTTACCTCATTTTTTCCTCTTTATGAAATATTCGCAATGTTTTCTCGAAAACTACCTGGTGTGGCCTGTTTTTATATGAGACAGAAAATAAAGTATATAAAAAGAGTCAAATATGAGAACATCTAGCAAAATATATGTGTCTCAAATTTCATTCAAATCGGACTCTCGGTTCTTAAAATATGTAAAAAGTGAGTTTAAAAAAAAGTTTGACGCCCTCTGAGTCTATGAAAACGTGGTACTTCTAAGTCCACATAATGTTGGGACACTATGTATATCTTAAAAAAGATACTAAAATAGCCGTTCTTAAGGCCGTTATCTATATTCTTCTACAATAAATGGGCCAAATTGCATATCGGAAGCTCGTATAGAGATACGTTTCTGCTTTAAATGTATTTTGTATTGTATTGATACACCTACTTAAAGGGATAAACAGATTTATCTAATTAGAACTTGCTTATCTTATAGAATACACCGGTGGAAGCTGATGCTGAAGTGGTACTCATTCCCAATGAACAATGCATGACAGCAGAAAGCTCTGTATCGCCTTTACTTCTAAGACCTGAACCGTCTGCCAGTATTCCATCTACTACGGAGAGCGCTAAACCTATCGATATACCAATGGTCCCTACCAGGAAATACAGTAGGATCCCTGTATTTGCTCCAAAGAGGGAACATCCCTCTTGTAAGGTTGAAGAGTCTAAAGAAACTAAAAACGAGCTCAAAAGAGCCACTGAAGGTATTTTGCAGCCACCTTCTTCGAAGTTCGCCAAGGTAGCGTCAGGAGCTAGTCAAATTGAGACTAAGCTGGAACTAAGTACTTTAGTTGAAGAATACTCACCCAAAAGTGAAGGTAAGGTTCCTGCGGTTCCAAAAAAACTTCTATGTAATGCGAGACGCTGCGAAAGTCTTGAAGGAAAACCAGCCACTGAATCAGTTCAAGAGAACGTCAATTCGGTTCCTTATAAGATCCATAACATTGACGAAGGTAGCAAAAATGTACCGAAATTGACCGTAGTGCGCCAAGTCAAGTTAAGGCTAACATTGTTCTAGCTAAATTGATTGAGAAAACAGAAAAGATTACACCGAGACACAAACACAGTGGTCCAACGCAAAAACGTGCAACATCTTCAAGCCAAGTATCTAAATTCAAATTCAAATTCAAAATACATTTATTTGCCAAAAAAAAAAACAAAAAAAAAAACATTATATTTACTGTATTATAGCAAATACACAAATATTTTTGGCAACAAGGACAAATCCTCGATCAAATGACCGTTAACACCCAGCCTTACATAAGTAGGGTGGGTGTGAAAATGCCCTGGGTTACACTAATTTTAGACATATAATATACAAACAATATTCTGGAATTTAATGATTTTATTTATCTGCAGCTCGAGGACACACTGCCAAACCGTTATTCAACAACACCACCAACAATTCGGACTCTGTCGTTCATCAGTCGATGTATGACGTTATCAAACTAGGGAATGGCAGATCAAGGTCCAGCAATAAAGAAAAAGAAGCGCGACAGCCTAAAGCAAAGTCTCGAAAGTCTACATATAGCTCAACGTCTGGAATAACGATCGAATTTTATCGCCCTCACGACTATCCACACGACAACAGGGACTCCAGAAACCCGCAATCGACATACAGTTCCAACTCATCTGCACATCACAGCCAAAGTTACTATCCGTAAGTAAAATATCGTAAACAAAGGTCCATTAAATCTTAGGAATAATTACGATGGAAATTTAGGTGTAATCTTCTTTAGGAGGGCTCATGTAATTTTAAAACAAAAATTTTCACAAATAGGAAAAAAATAGTTTGTTTTGATCTTTTTCGAGGGAACTAATTGATAAGTTATTTATCGGAATAGCGCTGTAAGTGGCGCCCTATAGAAATCTGGCAATAAAATAATAATAATTGATAAGTTATTTACTGGAATAGCGCTGTAAGTGGCGCCCTATAGAAATCTGGCAATAAAAAACAACGGATTCTTATTTCTCTCTTCTTTGTACATACGTGTGGACCACCGTCTTTGATAATTACGATGGAAATAAAGGCGCAATTTTTTGGAAGGTTGACGTTTCTTTAAGATAAACATTTTCATAAATAGGGAAAATATACTCTGTTCTGGTCACTTGAGAAAAAGTTATTGATCTCACATGGCAACATGTCTGTGGCAAAGCAAATTATGAGAAAACTCCCAAATATAGGATATATTTAGGAATCTCTTTGAAGAATACGTTGATCAATGATATAGCTTAAACTTTAAAGCATATGAATCCTGGCATGATTATACCTAACTCGAATGTTTCCAGATCTAGTGGATTGGCTTACAAATCGGCTGACTATGGACATCAAGAAAGACTGAGCAAGACCCTTGATGCAGATCCACTGAAAGAGTTACCTTACCCAAAGGAAACCTACGAAAATGAGAAACATGCCCAACAAGCGTCTAGCAATAGTGGCGGTCCTGAATGGTACAGGATTTTTTACTAATCTTTTGGGGAATATTCGACCTTCCCATAGCCTAATCATATCATGTAGCACCAATGTAAAGTGACTTATTTTAACCTACGAAGGTCATTATGATAGAAAAACAAAGATTTTTTGGTATAGTTTTTGACATAATCTACTACAACTATTTTCCTAATCTCATTCATTCATTTTCTTTCTGCTCATGGCCCCACTTTCTTCTCTTGGTTTAAATATTAAATACCATTTCTCTTGGCCATATTTCGTCACTCATTCTCATCACACGGCTGTATCATATTAGCTGTTGACTTTCTATTCAATCCATAATTATGTCTTCAACATGCGCCCTAGTGAGTAAATATGCTTTCTAAAAACTAATCTTCGATGTAACTAAAGGGATACCTTTGATTTTCTTGCCATTTATTGAACGATTCTCGTAATGTTACTTAAGCAATGTTGAATTTCTTTGTCGTATGCCTTAGTTTAGTTGAAAGTCCTAGATTTGTATGCTAGTTCTTTTGTTTAAGGCAATATGACGTTATTGCTGTTGGTATGTCGATGGTGCCATATATGACTGGTTACTTGAAAACGCTACGCGGTTCAATAAAAGTGTATATGATTCTTGGACTTTTTATTTTAGCGTCCATAGGAGATTCCGATTTGGGTTCAAAGACTACAGAATACTATAATATTCTGCGACATTTTACATAATTTTCATTTAGAATAAAGAACAAGCGAAGTCGTGATCAGCAATTTTTTAAAGAAACAGAAGTTATTGTATATATGTATATGTTTACATTTTGTATTAGACTGTTTTTTCTCAATTTTTTGGAACTGTATCATGAAAGATTTGTACATTATGCTGTCAATAAAATGTATATATTCATATTAAAGATAGTATTTTTTTCTATATATATATATATATATATATATATATATAAATGAATCCCTATTTCCCGTGGTCACGCCATAAGCGACTTTACCGCCACATGGCCTAACAAACACTTCGCTATGCAATTACCTATATTCCATATATTTACCAAGCAACAAGCAATTCAAATATGCTGGATGTCCGAAGAATGAGTAGTATTTTTATGAGTGAACTAAAACAAATTGTTCAGAAATGAGATAGACATCTAACAAATGCGTATTTTCCAATCACTTAGACGTATACAGGGCTTTGCGTAGCTCCAATACAAAATAAGCATATGTGTTCAATTGAAAGCCCTGTATTTTATTAGATATTTGGAAAAACCATTTCAAAACAAGGAGACTCGCATATCATTTGTTTAGTTCTTTCATCAGGTGTCTGGAAAATTGCTAAAATTTGAGAGCCTAGCTGTTTGCCATTCTGGCTGGCTTTTGTCGGATTTTGAAAGCGTATTATCTGTAAACTACACTGCCGAAGGTGTCAATAACTTGACCTGTATACGTGGTGTTGAACAACCCAAGATGGAACGGAATACCCTGTTTATTATTATACTATCTGATCGGCTTTTGACGGAAGTGTAGTTAGTGATTAAAATGCCAGATTCTTCCTTATCAAGCCATCACATCACATCATCAATGGGAACAATAACTTCTTCTGACAGCCTCATATGCTTGTAGCGCTCCTTAACAAGCAATATTTTTCTAGTCCGATCATACTTTTTGATATTTCCTACCTGTTTTCGTGTAGTGGTGTCGGATTGCCAAATTATTGGAATCCTACTTAAAGTAACTTGCTGCATATATTGCTGAAACGGGGTGGGCAAGTTTTCGCAACATTGAAGCTACATGATATAAGTTATTTAACATGCAATGTAGGTAGCAAAACGTAGCGTCGGTAAAAGAGCGCTTAACCAACTGTGGCTCAAACCACGGAATTACAAACTTTTCAAAATTCAAATATCGCGCTTTTGAGAGACTGACAGCGACTGGCTTAGTCCCGTGAGGGCAGGTGATCGCACAAATCAATCAAAACGCTTCAAACAACAAAAAGTTATGACATTGCAAACGTTTCTTGAATCATATAGTTTTCTATGTTCTTTGTTTTAAATCGCTGATTATTTACCTCAAATCATTTTTACTGCTTTATATTTTATGAGACTCCGATTTGCCTATGTCAACCATTTTGTCAGACAATATTTTTTGTCGAATAGTTAATGGTGAGTTTCAGTTTTCGAAAAAAATACATATCAAACCCTTTTTAAATGCTGATGTAGAAAACCTCAAACATGCGGCACCAAAAGTATATTTGTCCAAAAGTCTGACAATAAGAATAGAATGAGTAGAGCGATTCAAAAATGATCGTTGAGGATGTCTATTTTTGATTGAGCTAGTAGCTTTGAATGGCTCTTAAAATTCTAATATTTACGATAGATGATGATGGGTTTTCCATTAGCATATAGTAATATCATAATAACCAACCGTTCCGTCCACGAACCTACTCAAAATTCAAGGCATTCATCAACTCTTTAGTCTTATATTTCTATTTTGAAACACTTTGGATATCGTATGATATGTATGATTTTTCAACTGATCAATAGGTGTCTCTGCGTGAGGCACGTGTTTATTTTTTCAAATCTACGAGTCATTAGTTACAAAATATAAAACTCGGAGACGTTTTTACATAATTTTTTTCGTTCATTTGACTCTGAGTTCCCTAATTTGGACTACAGCTAGTAACGTGTGTTGCTACAGTTCAAAGACTTTTCCATCATGTATGCTGCGTGTTTCCCACTATTACCAAAACGACAAGTGATGGGCTTTTCACTAATTGGAGTTTTTAGAGCATGCCTATTTCATTTAATTATTTCCATTATTTCTACTTTGGTTGAGGACTAATAAAGCGGTTTTATATCTATTGTAGTAAAATTCAATTTAAATACCGAAATGAAATCTCAATTTAGATTTTAGTACAATAAGTTTATTGATCTGCAACTTGTGCAGCTATCATACTGATTATTTTTCTTTTTCTTTCTGGCTATTAGTTAAAACCACATATCGTCGCTTCAAAGGGGCGTAAGTCGGAAGATACCCACCAGAAATCTCTAAGAGTGGATATCTATATGACGAAGTTTCGTACCGCTCCTCCTTATAGTTAACGTAATATGGCGAATCAGTATGTGGATGGATCTCCTATTCTTACTAGTGCTAAAAGGACAAACGGGCGTACATCACGTCTTCTGTAAAATAGCTGAATTGGAGTTACGCCTCTTTGTCTTTCCAGCGACGATATGTGAGGGAGACGCATTTTTTTATTAGAATTTTTGTTTTTCAAAAGAGTTAATTCCTTCATGAAAGTTGAACAAACTGAAATAAATTAAATATGAAATTAATGAATTTTTCTAAATGCTGTAATAATAAATGTAAGGATCTTCATGTGCTCACGGCCTTCTGGTCCTGGAGGTTACAGCTAAGTGGCGTTGCACCTGGTTGGAATAATGTTTTTGGCATAAATATTATTATCTAAGCCGACTTCTGAGGAAGGGATTAGGACTAATTCCAACCTGTTTGTGGGGCTTATACTGTACACTGTATTTAAAGCCCACAAGGATGGTGTTATTAGGTTAATTGATGATCTTTCTGCCATTCTCTCTATGTACAAGTGCTCCATTTGAAGTGGAAAAATGTTTTCAATTCACTTTAGCGTTAACGCCTGTCGATGTTTGATAGAATAGCTCATCAAGTAATATGGGAAAAAACATTTTCTGAGCTGATAGCAGATATTCCCTTTTAAATGCGACACCACTGAATAAATGACTATCTGTCTGATCTTTCGATCCGAATTAATGCAATAACGACCAACCTGCTACAGTATGGTGTTTTAAAGTGTTCCAAAATTCACACAAGTTTTTGATTAAATAGAACACGTAGTTTTAAGCCTTTACCATAGATTGTTATTCTTTATTGATTCATGAAGTACTTAAGATAGAGTTATGTATTGAATATCATCCACGACTTTACTGGCACATGGGCACTCTTTTCTCGAAATTGTTCATGACCATAATGGTGGCTGAATCTCATTGATCCACCATTATATTTCCTCTTGTGATACATGGGTGGTTGTGAGCTTGTTAACATAGACCTTTGGCTTTAAATATATTTTTTTTTTTTTGGTGATGGGGGAATGCGTTTACGCACCATACCATAGCCCGATCTACGGCGTGTGTGGGACTCCAGGTTGTCTTGAGGAGACCACCTAATACCCACTAAACCCTAACCTCCGCGTGGCCCGACTCATCAGCGTCTCGGTAGGCCATGTGTTGTACGTGACCTGCGGTCTGCTACAACGTCTCCTCATGTGTTTCAGTCTCTGGGAACGCCGGGTTGGTTCCCTTTACCTCGCACATTCTATCGAAGTCGTTAAGCGATCATCGATAGAGGGTCTGCTAGGTTCTCTTGAAACTCTTATTTTCGAAAAATCAAGAGTTTCAAGTCCTCTTACCTATATATTGTCCCTGGTCCTGGTCCTGAAGGGTTCTGGCCCTGGTGGGTCCTGGTCGTGGCGGGTCCTGGTCCTGGTTGGTCCTGGTCCCGGAGGGTGCTTTAAATAAGCCCATAAGAAGAAATCTAATGGTGTTAGATCACACGATCTACAGGACCAATTCTGATCACCGAAGCGGGAAAGTACACGACCAGGAGACGTCTTGTTGAAGGCACATGTTGGTGACAGCCACAGTCAATTTCGGCAGAAAGAACTGTGTTGTTGAAAAGTACAACGCAACTATGTTTCTCATCCCCAGAAAGCCCCGAGTCTCAAATTTCATGTTGGTATGTCAAAAATTGTTTGAATTATAGATAAAAAACTATCTTTAAACATGTGCATCATCTGTATTTCACTAACGGGAGACACTTTAGCAAAGCAAATATACTAAGTGACATATAAATCCGAACACCCAGTTTAAATGGTTTTATATAATAACAAGTGAAAAAATTTTCAGCCTTATCAGTTGGACATTCCGGTTTTTATACTGCTTTTTTTTAATTCACTAACGCTCTAAAAATGAATATTTCAGCCGCAGTAAAGAATCAACGTTGGCGGATTTTGGTTCTTGACATCCTTTACGATCGGTTACGATCCCTAGAGTACGGAGACCTGTACGATTTCGTCAACTTAGTGAGATTTATAGGGGCCATATAGTGGGACTTCGGGAAGCTGGACTTTCTTTTCGGGCAATTGCAGTTAGAGTGCAAAGAAGTGTAGACACTGTGGTTAGGTCTTGTCAGGCATGGCTCCGAGAAGGCCGTACGCAAAGAGCAAGGGGCACTGGACGCCGCCGTAGAACAACAGACCGTGAAGATCGCCGCCTAAGATTATTGGCTTTAAGGGACCGTTGCTCCACTACCAGGTCCATTGCAAATCAATGGTTTGCAGAACACGGAAGACCTATTGGCATGCGAAGTGTTTACCGACGAATGAGAAGTTTTGGCTTGTTTTCATACCGGCCACACTGGATGCTCCCTTTAACTCGAGAACACCGACGTAATCGCCTTGAGTGCTGCAGACAACGGTCACTCTGGGATCAGGAATGGAACAGTATTCTTTAGTGACGAGTCTCGATTTTGTTTAGGCATGCACGATGGTCATGCCAGGGTTAGAAGGCGACGTGGTGAAAGGAGGAATCCACAGTTTTTTGTTGAAAGACATGTTCATCACACTGTTGGAATTATGGTTTGGGGTGCTATAGCTTATGGTTCCAGGTCACCTTTAATCTTCATCAGAGGTAACATGAATGCGCAGCGTTATATCCACGAAGTTCTAGAACCCCATCTTTTACCCTATCTTGACACCCTGGCAGATCCAACTTTCCAACAAGGTAATGCCCGACCACATGTTGCAAGAGTCACAATAGACTTCTTTCAACATAATGATGTCACATTGTTACCATGGCCACCAAGATCTCCCGAC